TCATGCACTCAATCATTAAGTATTTATTGAGCACCTACCATATACCATGCATTGAGTTAGGTCCTAGAGAGGCAGAGGTCAATAAGACTTAAGATCACTGAACTTGCACTGGGGCAGACATTGAGGGCTGCCTGCTCAACAGCCCTTCCACCTCCTGCCTTAAGAGAAACCTGATTTGGGGGCGCCTGGGTGGCTCAGTCGGTTAAGCGACTGCCTTCGGCTCAGGTCATGTTCCCAGGGTCCTGGGATCGAGCCCCACATCTGGTTCCTTGCTCAGCAGGGAGCCTGCTTCTCCCTCTCCCTCTGCTGCTCCCCCTCCTTGTGCTCTCTGTCTCTGTCAAATAAATAAATAAAAATTCTTAATAAAAAAAAAAGGAGAGAAACCTGATTTTTTTCTGGGCAGCAAGGTGCCCAATCCACACTGGCAAGCGTAGTCTCTGCTCTGGGCCCCATCTGCAGAGAGCCCCACTCTGACCCTCCTCCAGCCATGCCCATCCCCAGGGAGAGAGGAGTTCTACAAAACCAAGAGGATGTGCCTACCTAAGTCCACACTCTGTATACCTAGTACCCCAACATTCCCTGTCCAAGCAGCCCAAGCCCACTTCCAGCCTGCAGGAGTGAGCCTCTTCCTTGACCCATTCTCCCAAGGGTGCAGCCAGTGAGGAGTGGCCAAGGAGGGGTTGTTTGTGGGAGCGGTAGACAGAGCTCCGATGTGTGGGCTGGAGTGTCCACACACCTATGTGTGAGACCTCACGTGGCATGGGATGGAACTGGGGATGGGAGAGAAGGAAGATGGGCAGCAAGCCAGGAGCCACATCCTGGCACGGAACTCTGATAAGTTGAAGGATTCTAAATTCACACCTGATCTTCCACGTGGTTCTCAAGGTGTATCTGCAGGACTTGTTTTATTTCTCACTTCATGTTCTTGTCCTGAGTGCCACAAATGTTAGGACTGGCTTGTTCCCACCTACAGGGATCTGAGCCAGTCAAGGATCCTTGCCAGAGCCTTGCTTTCCCAGACTCCCTTACAGCTAGGGATGGTCATGTGAGGCAGACATGTGATCCCAGCAAGGGGGCTTCTGAGAAATCGTTTCCACCCTGACCGTGGGGGAGAAGCCCATGAGCAAAGGCTCATGGGGAGAGTTCCCTTTTTCCTCTTTTCTCCTCTGCTTTTGAACATAACTGCTGAAGGATGTGTGCAGCTGAGAGAGCTCTCTTTGGACCACAGGACAGAGTGGTCCAACATGCTGAGGATGACATACAGTGGAAAGAGTATAGGTCCTTGCTGACATCACTGAGCTACTGGGCCAACTCTGGAACCACCTCCCTCTGGCTTTTATGTTCCATGAGTCATCAGTGTCGTGATTTGGGCCACCATGCTGCTCAGTGTCTGATATTCACAGCAGTGGCCGGCCATCCTAAGGGAAACATATGTTCTCAAGGCGAGTGAGAGAAACCAGTCTGGCTGGAAAACCACCCATCTGGCTGGTGACCATCATGCCAGCCCATGGTGAAGTCGACCCAGAGGAAACTGAGAATTTTTTTCCATGTCTGCATACCACTTTTACTATTATAGTTCTTTTTAATAATCCCATTTTTCTTTGCTTAATGTTTTAAAAGGAAATAGATCACTGTCATACATAAAAAAAAACTATTTGCTTTATAAAAAGTATAAAAAAAAAACTTAAAAAGTGAAATCAAGGCTGAAAAAAAGACAAACCAAAAAACAGACTGTTGAATACAGAGAACAAACCAATGTTGCCAGAGGGGAGGTGAATGGGGGATGGGTGGCAGAGATAAAGGGGATGAAGAGTACACGTATTGTAGGGAGCACTGAGTAATGTATAGAATTGCTGAATCCCCACACTGTACACTTGAAACTAATATCGTACTCTATGTTAATTACACTTCAATAAACAAAAAAGACTGAAAATAGAAAATAAATAACACTAAGTATGTGTGGTATCCTGGACCGGATTCTGGAATGGTAAAAGGACATTAGGAGAAAAACCAGCAAATCAAGTCCATACTTTTGTTAATAGTAATTTACCAATATTGGTGTCTTAGTCGTGACAAACGTAACATAATCATATAAGATGCTAACACTGGGGAAACAGGGTAAAGGATACATGATTCTTAGGCAAGAATTCTGTACTACCTTTGTACCCTTTCTGTCGATCTGAGCTCATTCCAAAATAAAAAGTTTATGGGCGCCTGGGTGGCTCAGTTGGTTAAGCGACTGCCTTCGGCTCAGGTCATGATCCTGGAGTCCCGGGATCGAGTCCCGCATCGGG